GGGGGGGGGGGGGGAAATGCCTCACATGAGTCGCACAGCTCTGAGAGCCCTTTCACCCAAAATACTTGCACAGGAAACAGGACAATGGCTTCCGCGTTTTTAACTCTCCTTCCAGTTGCTTGAGGAGATGGTCCCTGCTAGTCACTAGTAGGCAACTTATTCTACCTTCAAAATACAACCCCCTCCTCAACTGGTATTTCATGGACTTGGATCCAACAGTATCCCTTGCATGTGGGACACAGCAGTTTAATACCCAACCCAATGAGTTCCTCTGTTAGAAAACGGGCGCTGTAGTGTCTCATAACAACTCTGGGTTTTGAGGAACAAGGAAGAACCCATTTTTATTTTTTTTATTACTCGAACACACCCCCACCCACCACCACTTTGAAGCCTTCTGATTACAGAGCACTGTAGCTGCACTTTGCAGTCCTTTGCTGGGAGGAGATGCTCTTGGCGCCTATACACATGCAGCGGGGCTACTCTGACGTGCATCAGAGCACACTCCAGCGTCATGTGTATCAGCATCCCCATGCTGAATAATGGCAGCAGGGGCACTTTTAACTAAAGCTCGTTCAACAAGCTTTAGTTAAGTGCCCCCGCTGTCATTTTTCAGCATGGGGATGCTGATACACATGACACTCCAGGTGCTTTCATTAGAGCAGCTCTCAGAGCCCCTCTAATTAAAATGCACCTCCCCACCCCAGCCCGTGTAACCTCCCCACCCCAGCCCGTGTATAAATGCTTTCAGGTACTAGGTGGGGTGTCAGCATGCAATTGCCTAGGAACTAGAAGAGATTTCTTCAAGAGATTCCCCTCGATCTGGCCTAAGCACACAAGGCAGCATCTTCAAGAGCACTGCAACGACTTAGATAGCTTAGGCCCGCTGACTTTCACCAAGATGCAAGCTCTTCAATGCCTGTCACTTTAAAAAAAATGGAAGCGTGATTCCTATATTACCCAAGTACTTTTCAATTTTACCCTAGAACGTACAAAACCTGGGTTTTCCCATAGACGTGGGTTCAAAGGCCAGCAGGTACAACTGAGCCCTGCAACTTCTTAAGCAAGATTAAAAGGTCCAACCGGGGGTGAAGGCTGACAAGGCATTACAAGAAAGAGTCCTTTTTGCTCTTCACCATTTCATTGCACTGGAAGAGGCAGAAACTCTTCAGTCTCTCCTGCTTCAAGGCTGGTGAGCGGGACAATTCTCTTTCATAAGATGCCCACAGATAAGGTATAGTGGGGGCAATTTAGATTGTATTCATCTCATTAGTGCCACAAAAGCTACTATTATCTCACCTCCATTATCAGCATGAGCCGCATGCAGGCAGTATGCAGTGGAAGCTGAGCAACCTAGCAGCCCATACAACAGTTTATTCATCAACTATTGTTCTCAGGTAGTATCCTGACAACTTCCTTTCCTGCCCAATTTCCCAGCTAGCCATGGTGAGGCCCCCTCCTAAGTGCCTACCCCCATACTTGAAAAATCTCCATAGATGGATATTTTTGCTACACAGGGATTGTGTGTGCACGTATGTGTGCAGGAGGAATGTAAAAACCACCACCACAAACCCACAGAACCAGTACAAGGGAATCTGAGTCAGGAGTCAAAAGGACAAGCAGAAGCATCCCTAGTGTAACTCCAAAGTCAGTCTAGTTACACAAGAGCTGAATTTGGCATAATAAATTACTGCAGCAGAGGCTCTGTTCACCCCTCACCTTTTTTTTTTTTGCCCAGATATTCAGTAGCCATTTAAATGGGTCACCTAAGCTCCTACCCCTCGTCCGCAACCCAGCAGGAGGCTGATTTTTCAGAGGACCTGGGCCCTGGAACAGCATGCACCCCGCACTTCTGGATGGGAGGCAAAGAGAGGTCAGACCTCATTACTTTGCCAGCATCCTTAGGGTTAATGCCCTTGAAATGGGCCAGCTCTTCCCATAGCACTATGCTAGCAGGGCTCTTCGGAGAACAAGGCTTTTCATAGTGAGGCCTGTCCCAAAGCCCCAATTCCAACCCCAATGCTGTGCTTCAGGGAAAACACTTGCCATGCCTTTCCACCATCAACTCTCCAGGGAAGAAAGCTGGGATAAGTTTACCCAACAGCTTGAATGCTGCCAGCCCTAAGAGCGGTAATAAAGCCTGCAAGGCCCAAAATTAAGAGCTCTTTAGCTGGTCTGCAAATGTTTAAGTGTCTGTGCAAGCACAAACCATTCGGCGTACATGGAGAGCCTGAATCTGGGATCTCCTGCACAGCACAGAGGTCTACTGCTAAATGTTGCCCTTCGATGAATGTAGCCACGATAAGGTGCTTTGTGCTGGCAGACCAGCTGTATATTGAGTGTTAATAAACGTTTCCTTCCTTTGCTAAACAAATGCTTCAGCGCCCTTATTTCCCATTTGTGAACACACACACACGCCCTCCCCAGCCTACCCTGCAAGAAATCACAAGCACCCAAGTCCTGCAGTCACCAAACCCCCATAACGGTAAATCTCTCCTGGGGGGGAAAAAAAAAAACAAAAAACCATGAGGGTGCACAGCACAGCGCTTCAAAAGGGGCCCACCAGCATCAGCCAGCTTGCGTGCGCAATGAAAGGACAGGGTGGGCATTTGCCTTAAGAGGCAGTGATTTTAAATCCAAGACGACATTAAAAAGAAACAGCTAGGAAAAAAAAATTCTTCCCGATAGACCTCTGGAAAGGAGATGAATCAGGGTGGTTTGGGGGTGAGCAGACAGCAAATTTGGGGAGGTCTTCTATACCAGAGAAAAGAACCACGTAGCCAATTCCAATAAGCAAGTCTCCGAGAGGGGAAGGGAAGTGCAGGAGAGGCATCTATCAAACCAGGTCTAGTGCTAGCATAAGCAGGTGTAATACCAAAAAGCTTTAATGGAGCGAGACTCACTTACCGCAGTCCGAAATGGCTTCTGCTGCTTTTCGAGTCCTTATCTGAGCTAAACCCTTCCTTCCTATATAACTTAATAGCTACCCAGATACCCAACCGGACTATAGAAGCTTTGCAGAGATACCCGAGACCTCCCAACACCCCAGCGCACAGTGCCTGGGTACCCCGCTGCTGGACAGCACAGCCAGTTTTGTGCTGGGGTTCAGAACAAGGGGACAGCTCCGCAACACTTGTTCAGGGGCAGCAGCCGGGATGACCGTGGATCTGGTCCCACACAGAGGCAAGCGTACAGAGCAGGTAACGCTCCAGGGATGGAAGGGAGCGTGTTGCTGGAAGGCCGGTGGGATAGCATGCAGCTCCCTGCAATGAGCAAGAGGCCGAGCACGGTTCCACATATGCCACTAACCCGGGTAAACGCAGTAAACGGGACCCCAGGGGCAAATACCACAGGACAATCAATCAATCAGAACAACCTTAGAAGCCCTGGGCAAGAGCACTAACTGCAACGGAGCTGCTGCTCTCCTACTCCACTTTGACTACTGCAGGGAAGTTCCCTTCCCCAGCCCCCACTGCAACTACAATCAAATCACACTGGACCCGTTGTAAAGAGAAGGGCAAAAAACCAAGAGAGACAGCTTTTGAGCTGGTCAGCCTTCCCACAAGAATATTCTCACCACCTCCGAAGATGGCTGCTCTCCATCACCCCCCCCCCCCCC